TTAATGCCCGGGCACCACTTCTCTGCTTCACTTCGGGTGCTGTCATCGGCTCACCATTCGCCAGCGGCATTGGAGGCGCGTCGGGAGTGACCTTGAAGCCGGGCATGTAATCTGGCATCTTGGCATAGAGGTCGCGGCGTTTCCGCTCCTCAGACTGCGTGAACAGTCTCCACCACCGCGCCAGAATCTCGCCCGTCACAACATCGCCAGCATTCACGCGCAGCATCCGAATCATGAAGTTACCGTCACATCGAACTACCTCTCTCAGGAACTTGTTCACCAGATCATCCGGCAGATCCACCACCCCCTCCTCCTCCCCTCCCCCTCTCCCATCATCCCGCTCTTCACTGCCAAACGACTGAATCGGGGCCAGCAACGATACCGCCAGGAATTCGCGTAGGAAGTTGCGACTGTAGCGTTGTAGAGCCAGACGACTCAGCCAGGTGAGCAGGCTCAAAACAGAGACGAGAAGGACCAGGGAGATCCACAACCACAGAAATATGTAGATCTTCTCATTGAACATGTTCACGGGCAGGGCACAGACGGCAGTGTAGACCTTATTACGAACACCCAGGTGCGGAACCCTCACAGGACAAAGGATTGTCGAGGGAAGAACTCACTGCCACCCCACTCACGTATCGATTTGAGGATGTTGAAGAGATCCTGGGCAAACGTCGCCATGTTCAGATCGCGATGTCCCAGGAATTTCATGATCATGAAGAGCTGGCCGAATGCATTGGCGATGTAGAGCAGCTTCACTAGGAGGTAGAGGAAGGCGATACGATTGCCCATCCGCTTGCCCACGATGAAGAGACGTCCACCGGGAATGCGGGAGAGGTGGTGTTGGAGGGCGGACCAGGTGTTGTTGCGGTTGTCGGCGTGCTGACGAGACAGCTGAGAGAGGTGGTTTGCACAGGCGTTGACGAGTTTCTGGCGGGCGTCGCGATCATCCACCTGATTGGCCTTCTTGTCTCTGGTCAGGAGGCATTCCAGGTTGTCGCCGAGGCTGTTGATGGCAAGAGCCTGCCAGATGAGGTGGGGTAGGTAGAAGAGCATGGCTTGGATGGAGAGGCAGAAGGGCACCCATTGGTAGAAGGCTGAAAGGAGAGCGAGTGGGGAACATGAAGTTGACGTGATGGAGGAGGAGGAGGAGGAGGAGCAGGAGCAGGAGGAGGAGGAGGAGCAGGAGGAGGAGAATGAGGAGGGGAGAGGGTAGGGGAAGATGGCTGTGGCGATTTCCTCTCCACAATGCTAGTCACAGTCTACAATTTTAACCTTACACTTACCGACATTGAGCCTTAGGGCGGTACGCACCCACACTGTATTCGAACGTAATAAACGTTGCGTGAATGGCCATATTCAAACGGATTTCAACCTAGGAACACGTTGCTTCAGGTGAAACAGTTGACGTTCTACCCAGCCCCTTTATTACAGGAACTGCTGTCCATAGGACGTGCTAAGGGGCGTCCTCACATCAAATACAGCATTCCCTGAAGCCAGTATCCGAGAATGACTGTTCTCCAGAAGGCAGATGTCAGCTACTCAGTGCGTCACAAACGCTCTGACGCCATGTAGACATCTTAGAAAGTTTGATAGCATGCATAGTGCTGACTATCGCGCATCACAGTGTCGGCTAAGACGACTCTTTTCTACGCCTGCGGCCGTATACAAATCCATAACAAACTAAATGTCTTCCTGTGAACGCTGCGAGTTCTCTTGTACTTTAAAACACTAATTGACTACCTCCAGTCTAAATCGCTGACGGAAAGCCCTCAGACGGCTGTCTGCATACACTCGACACGCCAACCGCCAGGACCACAGTTAGCTACCCTGCCCCCCTCCCAAAGTCATCTTCAGCCGACCGAATGGCAACCATAGGTTGTAGGTCCCCACGTCGCTGGCAATTCCAACACGTACACTGTGATTCGGTGTGACCGTAAACGTCACTTTTTACTCAACGTTCCCATTGGCTGAAATTTCCTTGCCAACCAAACTAATCGCCTTAACTTTATCTGCTGTGCTTGTTTGATGACGTCATGGAGTTCTGCTTGTCAGCAGCCATCTGCGCCACATTGCCTCACCTCTGTCGCCATTTCTGGGCACGAAAATGCAGTGTGACTCGCGGTGCCTATGACCGATGCGGGGGGTTAGGGAGTCATGATTACCAATAATAGCGAGACGAAATGAGCCGAGATAATCAGTTCCGTCAGTAAAACACCTGATGTCACTGACAACGGCAGCAAGTGAGGAAGAGTCACCTAAGGAAACCAAAACTCACTCCAGGTTAGGAATGCGACGTGCAACCATTAAGAAACCTCAACTTAGACAAAAAATGAGTAAGGACAAGTTTATAAAATACCCAGCAAATATAATGGGTGCAAAAAGCTGTGTAAAAATTAAAAGCATGGCAAAACGGTTACCGTGAGAAATGTTTTGAGAAATATGACAGTCCCAATGGAACAGGTTTATTGGAATTCTGATGTTTCGGAGGGCGTGGCCGGTTTGCGGCAGTCGGCACCTCCTGGCTCTCCACCGATTTGTCACGCTGCCCTCCTGTCCGCCTTGCTGCTGGGACGCGCGGGGCTTGTCACTAGCCTCGTGAGCGCTCGAGGCCAATCAATGCAGCCCTTTCTCTGATTGGCTGGCGACACCGAGGCAGAGCGAAGGGCACACACACGCGCTGGGGTCTAAGCGCCTCAACGGCTGCCACAGACAAGACAACTTGCCTGGAGGGCCCGCTCTGCGTGACTGCTTGCAGAGCCTTTTTGTACTCACTTCCCCAGCAGCAGAGGTTGTCCAACCCGATCCGTCTTCTGATTTGGGAATCTTTGTCTTGTCGACCATACCATTACGACAGGTTCACTGTTAAAGCGTAAAATGCACTTAACCGAACAGAAACAGTAATGGCACGCCGCGCTGTTCGATCTCATGCTTATCGATTTTTCTCTTCTCTCTCGCTGTCCCGGCCTTTGCGAGAAATGTTTATCGGACTTTTTGGCTGCGTGCGTTGTGAGTCACCACCTCGTCGGGAGAGGTGGTCTAGTCCCTGTCGGAGTTGGTCGGACTGGTAGCTCTTTCTCGTCGAGTGAGCTCGTCGTTGGACTGTGTCTGCGCGGCCTTCTTGTCCGGAGCTTTATGAACGCGATGACGCAGGGCTATGTAAGCTGCAGGAAGAACCAGATGCCTATTGATGGAGTTGGCATCTGAGTACTACTACGCCTAATGTGTTAGCCGTTCTGCCTGTGAATTGCCTTGACCTAAAAGAGTAACTCCCTGAAGATTGAAAGTATGGCCAGTTTCTCCAACGTGTGTTGCAAGTTGAGAGTTCTGGTATGGCCTCCGAATTGCTGATTTTCGGCAGGTTACGCCCCGTTCCCAACGTAGCTGCAGTCCCCATCATTACAACTCATTTTTAGACAGGACTGCCCCGACTTCGATGCCGTCTGATGTGGACTTAAAATCAGGCTAGCGACTAATGACAAACACTTGTCTTTTTTATTTCTCTCCACACTTACATATATCTGATCGCTCTCTCAACTCATCCCAGTCTGCAGGTTCATTTGGGATGTTGTCGTCAACGTTGAGGCCAATCGTGCCCTGCAACCAACACACGGATTCGGCAAAAACCGTAAAGTGGCCATCCGGAGCAGTGGGCAGGGTGCAGGAGATGGGCCGCAGAAAGTACACGTTTGTCGTGGTAACGCCAGCCAGCAAAAGGATGATCAGAGAGGACAGGAAGTGACTAAGGCGATCGGAGAAGTCTTCTAGGCTTGAATAGGGGTCACCGGAATAACCACGATAGCGGATGAATCCATCCAGAAGACCTGTGCCCAAATCGAAGGATCCCATTGTTGATGCGCCGTTCTACGTCCGTCTACTAGCTTCTCTGGGCAGAGGAGTTGAAAAAAAGAAGATTTAGACATACACCGGCCAGCTTATTAGTCACCATCTGTTTCATGCACAAGTTGTGATGCCTGAAGCGGAAAGTGCAGATATGTTACTGATAAAGGCAAGGATGACTGAAACGTCTGTTTCAAGCTACATTTACCCTTCTGTCCCAAAGAAGTTTGTACTTAGGGGGCCCACAAAGATCCTGTGTCTTAATCTTTTGGATTGCACGCATCTGCTACGCTGTGATTCAGCAAACCATAGCCCTTGGAGCCTGGTGTGCGCTGGCAGCCCTCTGGAACCTGATTCTCTGCCGGTGGATGCGCTTGCGATCCAGCTGGGTATACACGTCGTGCGCATCGTTGCCAGTCATCCTCCGCTTTCTGGCTCTTTTATTTTGTTGTCAGATGTTTGTTTTTGTAGACCACGGGTTTTGTGATACGTCTAGATGCGGGTTCGCCATGTCAGCCACCTGCGTTTTCTCCCACCCCCGATCTTTTTGACTTTGTTTTGACACCAGGTGCCCGTGGGGAGTATGGAAGAGAGGGCGCGGTAGATGCTTCGCAAGTCCACTCTCACTACAAACGAATACACGCACAAGTCGCCGTGCCTGTTTCACTTTGCTGTGGAGCATACGGTGGACATCACCTGATGCGACGATAGGACCGTCGTTGAGCTGTTTATAAAGTATACAGCATTGTCCTCACTCATTGTAAAAGTTTAAGTGTCTTGTATTATATCTTCATAGTGGCACAGAAGTAACTGTGATTTCCTCTACATGTACGTAAATCCCAAACACAAATGCAACCGCATACCAGGCTCGAAATTATCCGAGAATTAAAAAATACTTTTTTGAAACCCAAAGTTACTCTTTCTTTAATTATCATATTTGAAGAAGATGTGCTTCGCTGCCAAATATGTGCATGCAGGAACACTTTGTGCATGTTTACCATTAGAATTGATAGGCGGATCTAAAGTCAATGGGAGAAAATCACACCACTTTAGTAGTCATCTTATGCCGGGCGCGGACGAGAAGCAGGGTATTCCAAATCTGGCATCCAAGCACCAATGAAATATTTTGAGATAAAGCTGCACGATGATTAATCTTATAAGCCCAATTAGTCAACGCCTCATAACTAAAAACGTATTTCAGAACTTTGGTTCAAAATTTCAGTTCGGACATTGGATGCAAGTAACCGCCGCCGCCGTCCCCACCACCACCAGGAACGGTGACTTGTGCGTGAATTAGTTTACAGCGCTAGTGGACTTGCACAGCATCTACCGTACTCTCTCCTCCCCCACCTGGACCCGGTGTCAGGACAGAGTCTACGAACAGACTACAACACAAAGTCATAGCTTGACGAGAAAAAAAGCTATTGTTCGTTGAGATCAACTAACTAATTCACATCTAAGTTAGCACTTTTGAAAGAATTTGATTACTAAAAGCCGGCTTCCGTATTTGGGGCCTTGTGGAAGCCAATGATGAGTCTGATTTAATGCCTTCAGGCTACTTCCAGCACCCGTGTTAGGCTTTGATTATGGAAAAACTCTCTTCCTAATACTTTTATACACAAAATGCGAACTGGTGACTTACAGCAGCACCACAGCAGCAGTAGTGATAGGCTCCAGCGGACTCTGCGCGACCCGATTAACGCGTGCCTTGAGCCAAGCAGGCTCCTCTTTCTAGGTGGAGGGTCTGCCCCATGGGCCTTTTTGGGGCCAAGAACCACCACCACCCCCACCACCACCACCACCACCACCATCACCACCACCACCACCACCACCACCACCACCAACAACAACAACAACAACCATGTCGGTCACTGATCGATAGAATTCAGTCTTAGATCAAGATAAAAGGACTCAACTTTGTCATTACTGGCGACAACCTGAGTTGTACATTTAAGTAACGAGAACAATGTTGGAGCTATTCAGAGGCAATTTTTATGTTGAAAAGGCGTGTGGACAATCTTTTCTTGCTTAGGGAAATGCGGGACACTGCAGCTTCTTTGCTGCTCAGGAGATCATGCATATTAGACTCGCTATTCAAGCTTCCTCTTCAAGGCGGGAAATGACACTTAATAAATGTGACTTTTCATATCGTCCAGTCAAGGAGAAATACGGTTTAAAGTCGTTTTCCTCGTCAAACTTTGACTTGGTCAGTCTGTTCGTTGAGATCAACAGACAAATTCGCATCTAAGTTAGACCTTTAAAAAAAGAATTTGATTGCCAAAAAGTGGTTTCCGTGTAGATGACCTTTCGAAAGCCAATGATGAATCTGATCTAATTCTTTCTGGCTACTACCAACACTCGAGATAGGCTTTGATTATGGAAAAATTCTGTTCCTAGTGTTTTGGTGCACAAAATGCGAACTGGTACCTTACATCAGATCGAAATGCTCTCTGGTGACCGCGACATCAAACAAACTAACATATTGCACAAAATGAGACAACCTACATAGGGTCAGAATGACTTCTAATGACGGACGAAGGGTAGCCACAAGTGATATCCACTCGCATCGTCCAATCGGCGTGAGTGGTCCTGCCCTCGGACGCGGATCATTATTAGATATATGATCACGCATCACTCCGCTGCTATCCATAATATTCTGATCTGACGTCTACTCAGCCGGCTAGACCGAGTGGGTGGGCGGAATTCGTAAGGGACGTGTGACTGACTCCACTCAGCGCTTCCCAGATGCGGTGGCACTCTGGTTTCAAAAAAGCCAATCTGTCTGTCTCATGTGGCCTGAATAGAGGGTAAACTATCCACCTGGACAATTTACCACCCTTATCTGACTCCGTCTGTGATGATGGACTCGAGTGAGAATCAAAAACGTCAGGCTAATAAAGCTCTTGTTTCTGCAATCGTGTTTCTTTCTTCGCGATGGCGAGGTCATTGCACCTACGCACTAAACATCGAATCTAAAGTAGTCAAGGAAGCCCAAGCATCTTCGCTGCTAGATGACTTTATTTGAAGATGACCGGAGAATTTGGGAAAACTGCAATTATACCCGGGCCGGGGGCAATAACTCAATGCCCGGCACTCACAGTCAACATGCAGGATCGGCAGGAGAGTCTCTCAAGGCTAAGGGAGAAAACTGGTTAGCTCCCGTAAAAGTTATCTTCAGGGTAATCTAAGGATCCATTGTTTGGAAGGGACTCCAGCATCAAGCACAACTCCTGCGGAGCAGATGACCTTTGAGCCTTTGGCGAAAGCAGGCTTCCCTGGCAGCAGTTCCATCGATAAAGACAACAAAGACAGAGAAACAGCTCGACAGCCTCATAAAGAGCCTCGGAACCATCGCAGGAGAGCTATCCACATACCCTGCGAGCTCTGCGACGCTCTGCTATGAAAAGCAAAATGGTATTTTTATAAAGGCAACGGAGTACATGAACACGAGGAGTAGCGGTATTCCCACAAGACTTTACAGGTGACCAGCGCTGGCAATGCGCATATGTGCTTAACGTCGCCCAACAACCAATCCACACTAGGAGTCTGGACTGACCTCATAGCTCCGTCGCCATGCAGTTACCGATGGGACGCTTCTGCGCGTCCATGCTGCCAGTACATAGCTTGTTAATGGGACCCCTCCCTCGCACATCGGATACCTTCGTCCGCACCTTAGCATGGACGCCGCCAGCGCTCGGATGTCAACCGGCAGCCGTATTGGCACAGTATCAACCAGTCCCCAACAAGATCACATTTCCGCTCATAAGTTGGTCTAGTCGGACGCCTGTCCCCTCCGCCGCAACATGACAGTTCGTCCACACCTAAGCGTACCACCACACCGCTGGTATGCAAAATACGCTGATCAGGACTTAATACTACAAGAAAGAGGGGGGTTGCCCGCATCCATTTTGGCATGGCGGGAACCTGCACCCGTAAGTGCCATCACACCGCCAGCGTTAGCACTTAGAAGGGGGCGCGCATCCACGTAACGGGCAAGTGGATAATTAAGCTGTAGCTCGGGTTTGGGGAGGGGAGGGGAGGGGAGGGGAGAGTGCAACACCACAATTTCAGTCAGCGCCAGGGAGAAGGTGGGTCCCGTCGAAGGTAATAACACGCGGGTAGCTGGCTTGGTGGCTTTGAAACATGGCAACTATGGGACCTGTATGAAGTTATTAGCCGTATTATTAGCCGTTGTCAGACCGTCATATCCAACCCCGAGGTGTATGCAACACTTGGGGCTGGGTCTTGCAACCTGTTGGTTGAAAGTCTAATGCCCTAACCACTGAGCCACAGACTCGTTGTGCTGTCGGTTGGTATCGGGTATGGCCAGCAGACGACCGCTAATAAGCCAAAAGTTCGATTCCAGTCGAATTTGAGGATTTTCATGTCGAAGCATTTCCTCCTGTTTTACACACCAATTTCTGCGGAAAGTCGAAAGCTTACCATCACTATGTTGGAGTTGACATGCCTTTATATCAATCCGACATCCTAAAAGCTGAGGTTTGGAAGGTCGTCAGCTGACTGGACAGTGTGGTCTTCTAGGCTGAGAGTCGGACAGGAATAAATAATTGTTGGACATGAAAATATGGATTCCCCTATTGTAGGTGGCTAAACTCCAGGGCCTTGCCTACTGCACAGTCTTGACTTTAGCCCTAACTCTCCTTTCTATAACCCTGTTACTAACACTGACCCTCTTGAGTAATCAGTGCGAACTTTCGACAACTCTCACCAGTGTGATAACAGAGTTAACGAAGTCTTGCCAATGAGCATTCAGGGACCTGGGGCACTAGATATAAATGGTGTGCTTTTTTTCTACAAGTTTCTGGAACCTACATATATGGAGTTCTATTTCCTACAAAGAACACGATCGAGTCACATTTCGTACGCACACATGGTATGCACCTTCCTGAAACTTAATATTCTGGGGGAAAAACAGCAAAACTAGAGACGATGCTTCAACTATCGCATATTTACATGGCTATGAGATGTTTGCATGAATTCGCCCACGC